TGTATCGTAATGTATTTCGGACGTAATTCAAAGACAATATTATGGCCATTTGTGATCGTCACTGACATAGATTATAGAATCTCCAAGAAAAAACCTTGTAGCATTACCAGTTTACGTAAATGTATATAAATATTATACGTCAATAAAAAAATATAACTGTATCGGTCCTGCTATGAAACTTGAAGATTATGAAGAGTAACATTCAGTAACGAGACAGCACTGACTCCAGTGCATCAAAAAGAAATTGGATTTTGACATAAGAGTCACAATTCGTCACAAGTCTCGTTTCTGAATCTTACCCTTAAATCTCCTGAATTAAAAATCCTTATAATGGCACATTTAGATCCTGATTAATTACAAAATGTTCCAATTATTTAAAAAAAAATTATTATCATATTATAAATGATAAAACATTTAAAATAATATAAGGTGTCCATGATATTCCAATACGAAGAGGACTAATGTAAAATTGAATACATATTGTTTTTTAAATCGAATAACAAAGACTTTTTCCTTTTACAATAGCCAACTACATAAATTTAAAGTTAAATATGTATGCAAATTTAAATATGATTTAAAATAACAAAATCTAAAATTATTCATTTTAAATTTTGTCTTAAAAGTCTTCTTATATTATAATAAAAATTAGCACTTTATCACTAATAAATAGTTTATACAAATATAAGTTTTGCAAGAATATATAAATATAGATAGGTAGATTTGTATACAATAAACTTTACAAGTTTATTTCAAAAACTACTAAGGGAGCGTCAAGTATTACGTAACGAGTTTGGGGGGGGGGTTCCTTTTGTAAAACGTTACGATGCGGGGCGGGGATTGGATTACGCGTTATTGTTAATATTATTTTCGACTTACACAACATAATAGTAACTAAAGAGACACAAGGTGGTCACGAAACGTTTTACTATACTTGAGTACAGTACTGTGCTAGGGTACTGAAAAACGTTACAGCGAGTTACATGGGGGGGGGGTCAATAATCTCCAAAAAATGCGTTACGTAATACTTGAACGCATTACAGAAATATTTTCGTATAAAAAATATATATGGAAGCCATTAATCAGTCTGAATATTCGAGTCATAACGTATGAGACACGACACTGAACTATTTCTCCTTTAATAAAAGGTTTACAATACAAAACATAGATATAACAATGGTTGTGTAACTTATAAACAAATTATGATGATGAAATTATATTATGGTGATGTACAAAAATTAGCAATAGCTAGAAAAAAAATATCAAATCACTTTTGAGCATCAAAAACTTTACAAATAAATAAAATGACTATAGACATCTGTCACTGCATACTCTAAATGTCAATTGTCACATAGAAGTAATATCCGATAGGAATTTTTACATAGGATATGTTAAACGGAAGGGCCCCTTTATTTACAAAATATAAATCAATATATTTGTACCGTTTTAACTAAAGTACTAATCTGTCTCTTTTTGTCACAGAGTAAACACAATTTAATAGCACGAGATGCAAGAGTAATAAATAAAGGGGTTAATCTTTAAAAGACAGAATACAAGGGAAAACAGAATTTTGACAAACTATTAAACAATACAATAGATTATAATCCTAAACTAATGTTCACAAAAATGTGATGAGTATTCTAGAATGAAAAGAAGTATAAATGCACCTGGTAACAGCACCATTTGTGAATTATAGAAACTGTAGGAACTATAGACATATTCAATTGTTAGTACGCTTCTTACAAAGGTAACATCGCTATAATAAGTGGCTATAAAAGTTTATTTTGGCCAATGATTACTATTTTTATTTAAATGCGAACTGACAGAAGGCTCCCAAGTGTGTTGCCGGTCTTTAAAGACAAATGATATGCAGTCAAATGCTCGGTTTGATTCAAAACATCAACCCACTATATGCCAATCAGCATGGTATAATAATTCTAATTATCCAGCTCTAAGAAAAATTGTTTAAATGTCACTGCTTTTCATTTGTTTTAACATTTTCAGCAGATTGCTTAATTTATAAGTCGATTATTATTTTTTTATTTATTCGTGAAACCTTTTACTTAAATTTAGGATTTTCATGATTATATTATGAATGCTGAGTTCTCTATTATTATTATTTTCCTATTCCTGGTCAATTATTTATTTATTATATGTCATACCATCTAATACAGTGGAATCTCGATAACTCTAATGTTGTTTGGAAATGAAAAAAAACGATTTAACGAGTTTTCGACTTAAGAACTTCGAAATACATATGATTTAACTGCTGAAATTTCGACTTACAGAGGCGCGATTTCTGTGTATTTTTAGATTTGTAGAGTCGAATTTAAATAACAATTCAACTTAAGTTTTGTATATTTTTTTACATATTAAAATATATAATATTTTATTGCCATTAATTCGGGGAATTCCAAGTAAGACGTCAGTATATTGTACTAACTACGACTTTTAAGTTTCCTTTTTGAAAGTCAAATTTTACAATATAAATATGTATAATCAAAACTTCGGGAAAATATAAAAATTAACAAACATCTGATAGGAGAAATAGCCAACTCACTAAACTCGAAACTTAAAGACTACAAATATGAAACAAAAGACGCCGACACACAGGACAAATACAATTGGTTGGAAAATAAAATTGCAACCACTACTAAAGAACATAGCAAAAGGAAAGAGAACCTATACAACAGGATGACAGAAAAACCGTCAACCTCCTTAACCAAAGAGCAGTTCTAATAAGTGCGAAAAATACTGGTAAAAATAGAAAAGAAATTGCAAGAATTAGTAAAGAAATAAAAGAAAACATTAGGAAAGACAGGAGACAACATCGTATGGAAACAATAGAGAGACATATTAGACAGACAGGAGGAATAAAGAAGGCGTACAAAGAACTAACTAACAAGAAAGAATGGATTGTTAAGATGAAAGATAGAAGAGGAGCGAAGAAAATTGGTAGACAAGAAATACTCAAGATCGCTACTGACTACTACACCGAACTATACAAAAATAACACAAATAAAAGAGAAATAGACTTACCAGCGTACGAAACGGTACCTTACATCATGCAGGAAGAAACTGAAAAAGCTATTGACACACAGAAAAATTATAAAACTCCAGGGCCAGATGGCATAAGCAATGAAATACTAAAGCAAACGAAAGTAGCAGTGGCACCGATACTTACAGAAATTTTCAACTACGTGATCAACACAGAAATCATCCCAAAACAGTGGACTGAATCCATCATAATCCTTATATTCAAGAAAGGGAATCACTGCGATATTGGAAACTATAGACCCATCAGTCTAATGTCTAACATTTACAAAATTTTTGCAAAGATTATTTTGGAAAGAATAGGAAGGAAATTAGATGAGCAACAACCCATTGAACAGGCAGGATTCCGTAAAGATTTCTCGGTGCTAGACCACATCCACACTGTAAGACAAATTAGAGAAAAATACAATGAGTACCAGCTTGTATACTACATAGCTTTTATTGATTACAGTAAGGCTTTCGATTCTTTGATACACTCAAAAATCTGGGAAGCCTTAAAGGAACTGGGTATAGAGCACAAATATATAAGAATTATAAAAAATATTTATAAACACAGTTCGGCTTGTATCCGCCTAGAAAAAGAAGGAAATAAATTTCAAATACAAAAAGGCGTGAGACAGGGTGACCCCCTTTCACCAACACTCTTTCTGGCCGTAATAGAAATGATCTTCAGGAATCTGGAATGGAGAGACATGGGCATAACTGTTAATGGCCGCGCGCTAACGCACCTACGATTCGCTGATGATATCGTATTATTTGCAAAAACACCAGCTGATCTAAGCAAGATGATAAATGATCTAGCATCGGAAAGTGCAAAGGCCGGATTGAAGCTTAACCCGGAAAAAACAAAAATCATGACCAATGGCAACAAAGACCCTGTAATAGTGGAACAGAACCAAATCCCCTACGTGGAAGAATATTTATACCTCGGTCAACTGATGTCTCCAGACGACAACGGAAACAAAGAAGTCGAAAGAAGAGTTGCAAACGGCTGGAAAAAATATTGGAGCCTAAAAGAAGTGATGAAAGACAAGACCCTACACAATTCAACGAAAAGCAAATTATTTAACACATGCATCCTGCCAGTGCTGGCTTACGGGAGCGAAACATGGGCTTTAACAAAAAACGTAACAAATAAACTCTCCGTATGTCAACATGCCATGGAAAGGAGCATGACTGGGATCAAAAGAAAAGACAAAGTAAGGAGTAGCAACATCAGAGGAAAGACTAAGGTACAGGACATAACTTTGAAAATAAGAAGACAAAAGTGGAAATGGGCAGGCCACATGATCAGGGGAAAGGACAAATGGAGTAAAATAATCACACAATGGTACCCAAGAGATGGAAAGAGAAAGAGAGGTAGACCACAAAAAAGGTGGGACGACGACATTATACAAGTCGCGGGAACAACATGGGGTAGAGTGGCCATAGAAAGGCCAGAATGGAGAAGGTTGGAGGAGGCCTTTGCCATCTGGCAAACGGACACCCAAAAGTGGAAGAAAAGTACAATATACGAAAAATAAAGGAAATACTGGCATGTCCGAATAGAGGCTATAATATAATATATGTATAATCAATACTTCGTAGGAAAATTTTGTTCGAGTTACAGAGTCTAAATAATTCAAGATACCGCGTATTTAGACGTTCAGCGGAAGGGCATGGCAATTTTTTTCGACTTACTGAGGATTTAGACTTAATGAGGTTTGAGTTATAGAGATTCCACTGTATTAAAACAATTTTCGACAAGAGAATGAATGTATCAGTCCGTTACCTATTAGATAAATAAGTTTGAAAGAGTAATGTAGGAACCACAAGGGGGATTCAACAATGGTACTTCATAGATTTCCATAAATCTGAAAAAAAGAGTCTAACTGACACTGGTTCCAGTACTAAATACCACCAAAAGCCTTTCCAACCTTATTTCTATTTTCACCAGTACCTTATAGGTATTATGCAAGGCAAATCAGCTGCTTCCCTTCATCCATTTTAAACTGGACTTTGTCAGAATTAGCCGCTTTATCCGCTGTCTTTGATAAAGCACTTGCCAAAAACACTAGACCCACTCCGAGTATTGTCATGTATAGGGCCCAACCTGGAAAAAGCAAATAAATTATGTAATAAGGTGTCATTATAATTTTTTTTTTAAAGTACAGGCGGCAAACGGTGGGCAAACGGGTAGGAGGCTTACCAGATTTTAAGAGAAACCGCCGCCCATAGACACTCTCAATGCCAGAGGGAATTAAAATTGCAATTTAAAATGTATCCTACATTAGGTCTCTTGAATTACTACTATCTATGGTATTTTTAAGCAAATGTTTGACAACTGACTTTTCTGTATCACATGTCTTAGTAATCCTATACATTTATATTTATAGGCCTTACCAATAGAACAGTCCCCAGGTATGTAAGGCTCAGAGTATTCACCACAAAGCCGCTTTACTCGGGCAGCACCCCAACCCCAAGGATAAAGCAGTATACCCAGCACACCAAACAAACCTGGTTATATGTATAAAAATTATGATTAACAATATTTAGTGCTTGCTACATACACTTTGTCTGTTTGTTGTTTGTCTACACTTTGGTAACGTAATCAATTCTATTTTCAAAAAATAATTCATTAAAACGAAAAATAGTATTAAGTATTATTTTTAAGTTCATAAACCACTAATCTCTTCTTAATCAATTGTAAATTTACCTCCCAATGCCTGAGTGGCACCTGCAAGTGATATTACACTCTTTTTAAATACAGATTGGACACAGCATGCCAAAACTCCTGCAAGTACTGTAGAAAACTGGATAGCTGCACCTGAAAAATAATTAAAATGTTAATATTACGATTGTCTGATGCCACTTCTACCCTTGTCACCTTTCGTTTTTCATAAGATAACTGTGAAACATTGAGATAGAAGCAAGAATAGTACATATGTACATTTCATTTAAAACCTACTTACAAAAGCAGAAATGTCTAACACACTTGTGCCATCAGGTTCTGTTTCATTGATCTAATATTTCTATTAGGTTTGCCATCAACTTTATGGGTCCTCTAATATGCAACACAAGAGTTATAAATACTTACAAAAGGATAAAAAAAACATTGCTGCCTTCCACGGAGTAGGATACACATATGAATCAGTTGCAAGTCCATAGAGTGAGAATGGAGCACAATGGTTTCGGTCATGTTCTGTACGTATACATCTATAAATTTAAAGGCTCATTTATAATTTACAGTTCTTACATATGTTTTATGTAACAAAAGTTTAGGATGAACCAAATATAAAATAAGGTTTAATTAGTTAAAAATATTATAACACAATTAGTTTTGACAATTTATAACTGTGTTAAATATTTTTTTTAAAAACCAAATGACATGAAACTTTTAACAGACTTCTATATGTATGACCTTTTAACATGATAACTGTAGAAGAAACAAATCCAAATCAATTTTTTTACGAAAAACATACTTATGAAAAACCTAAATAATAGTGATACCAATATATTTCATTCCCTTTAACTTAAATCAGTTGTATAATTTAGTCATGATAAAAGCGCAGTGATCCCTTTAGATCAGGAAATGATCGCGTATATCATAGGGCCACATAATAATAAATTGATCTTAAAAGGAAGTCGAGTTACAATAACTGACACCAATACGAGAATACAAACCTATTGTAGATACCAACACTGGGAACATAAAAACTGGTTATATTGTTTTCATTCACTATGTTTGGCTGGCCGAGCAACCATTTAGGCGTCATAACACCGGTCAAAATTAGCATAAAAGCAGCCAAACTTATCAGCAGCCATGCTAGACTGCGGCCGGTTATAATAACATAACACATAGCTTATAAATTCTTCTAATTTCGTTTTCTTGTATACACTAAGTTACAGTATACAATAAGTTTCCTAAAAACTGTTAAGAGGATAAGACAATAAAAAGGTAGAACGCTCACAACTTTCCAGTTCTACCTCTCAAGTCTCAATCCTCTTAAACAACTCACGTATCACGATACAAATGAAAACAATGAAATTCGTTCAAAATTCAATCAGCATGATTATCGTTGAAAGTTTTCAATTTGACATTTGGGTTCAATGTAATGTCAATGTCATTAATTTATTGTATACGAGACCTCTGACTCAGATACGAAATTCAAAGTTCGCGCTATATAGTTTCTGAATTGTACCCTAATGCATATTTCAAAGTTATTCTTATTTTATAATTTTTTAAATTATTATTTACTATTTTACATTCTTTTATTATATATCGATTATTTGAGTAATAAAAAATCTAAGAAAATATACAAGGTGTGTCATATTGAACGCATCTTTATACCAATAATAAGAACGACACCTAGTGTCAATACCGAAAATCAATAGCTTCTCAAGTGACAATTGACTAATACCAATGGACAATTTCTCAAATATTGGCATAATTAGGCGTTCGCTCTTATTTTCTTTTTCTTTGTATTCTAACGTGATTTGAATGTACGTGAAATGTTTCTAGCCAATTAAACTTTATACAGAACTATTAAAGTAAATGCAATTTATTCTTCACTAGAAGATATTGCAACGGAAAAATATATTACTTTTTTATCATTTTGTGTTTGAAGTGAAATGTGGTCGATGACAGTGTAAAACGGGTGTTTGCTACGTAAGTATAATCTAAACAAATTGTGATATCCCTTAGTTCTAAACGAAACAAGTCTTTAGTATTCTATTTCGTTTTGTTGTATTATAATAGCAGACTGACAATAAATAATGACAAGTCTTGTAAATTTAGATGATGCCCAATTGTATTCGACATAAAAAGCGATAGAACAACATTTAAAAGTATGATATTTGTAAAAAACTAATTTTTTATGGTTTTCGCGTGTTCAAATCAGTGCCATAGCTGTGATCTGTATTTATATGAATCTGGTACGTCTTAGCTAAGGATAAGAAAAAAAACATGTATCGTTTGCCCTTGTTGATTGCAAAATCTCTTTGTCGAATAGACTTTTACTTTTTAATCATTGTTCGTGTGACGATTTCCCGTTGTAAAAAAAATACGCGGATAGAATCTACCTACTGCGTGATAAGTTTGATGTAAACTTTCTTACATTAAAACAAAACAATATGATAATATTGGCACAGTTAATGCATGATTAAACATTGTTTGGTAATTTGTAAATACAAAAATACCTGCTTTTTGTCTTTATAATGCAGAAATAACTTGAAAAGCTTGATGCTTTACATCAATACAAATTATGTAAGTGTTGTGCAAATGTTAGTATGAAAAACTTGTTATTTACACACACTCACTTGTATATAAAAGAAGATAATAATATTAATTAAATTTTCGTGGAACAAACTCTCCAACCTTGATGTTTTCAAAGTAGAAAACAATAAGAAACATCAAAATGTTTAAAATGACTTTATTTTCAAATTTTTTGTGTGTACATTGCTATACAAAAGCAGTATACGTAATAAGAATCACACAAATAATAAACAAATAGAAAGTATAATATAACAAAGGTAACAGGATTTGATATGATTTAAATAGTAAACTTAAACCCAATATTATGATAGCTCTATTTAACCTAAATGCTAATTAATGGTCTATTCAGTAATTATCAAACAAAGACATAGCCTTGACATTGTGTTGAAATAAACTGATTTCATTTTAATTGTGCCAAGGAAGACTATGAATTGTAGGTTGGTTAAATAATAATTATTAATCTTGGATTAGAGCAAAAAATTAAATTATTATTGCTACAATAAAAATTATTTATTGCTGCAATACTTATACTTACCAGATAATATTAATTTATTCTATCTTACATCTAAGTTCCAAGTCAACAAATGTTATTATTTGCTTTATTGTGATTACAATGTATTTATATAAAAGTTTGGCTGCTATATTTCATAGGTTATTTTCACAATTAAGAACCCAATTAAACCCTAGGAAAAGAGGGTAGGTTTGCTGAATATTATGTAATTTTTCTGAAGTAGTATGTTGATTCAAATAAAACTTTTTAAACTGATCCTGTACAAAATCCAAATGTATACCCAAATTTTTGAGTTTTGACCATTTGGGTTAAATACTATGCAAATATGTTTGATAAATGTTTAAACATAATATGTTTGGTGTAAATGTAGAAATAGAAAATTCTTTTAATTGCTCTATACTTGGATTCTTTTGGGTAACTTTTAAGTCTTCTTATAATACCTAGGTTTAGGGTGATCACATAAGATCTTTTCAATGAAGCCATACATAAACAGATTATGAGATAAAACTTCTTTGTGGTTTTATTTTAGTTGCTTGTTATAGTAAATATCATCTGCTTAGTAGATTGTGTAATGTGTCAACTGTTAATGCTGAAAATTATTGTGTTTATTATAAATATTTTTATATTAATGGTTGGTGAAATAAAAATTAAATATTTGTTTCTATGTTATATGTGTTTTTGTTTCAGACAGTCCTAGAAGCACAAGACAGTTTGACCAAGCTATGCTGTAAATAGTTGAAATCCATCTTCCGTATAGTGTATAGTGAGTGGATAGTGTTTATAGTGCTAGTGTGTTATATAATGAGCGGACAGAACCGTCTTAACATGCCTCCACCACCTTTGAGACAGATTGACTTGGATCAGGTATGTTTTATCTTTTAAAAATAATTTAAATAAAGACTATCAGTCTTTGACATTTTCCTTTAAGAACAATACAACTTTATATACCAACTGTGAATCCAAGAGATTCACAAAACACATATAATATCAAAATTGGTATACTCATACTGAAATAAAGAAAAACATCCAACACCCCAGTGAGACTTATTGCAATCATGTTTGAGAGGTATTTCATAATTAATGTACCTTTATATTTTTAATACATGTGATATGTGTACCTTCGGAACATATGAGTCTCTAGTATTAACCTAAGTTCACTTATAAATAAATTTGTACTTGCCATGGCCAATTGAACACAGAGCTTTGGAGGACTTGTGTAATTTAAGTCTGTTTTAAGTATATTAAAATTGGAACCAGTAATACTTTTATATATTGTATTGGGATATATTACGATTCAGAGTTCAGTTATTCTTCTATGTTTCCTAATATGGAACTAACTTGTGTGGGTGTTTGTTGCTTTTTACATATTCAAGAACAGTTTTTTACAAATACAAAATGTATTTGGTTGGTTTTTTAATCCTTCAAAAAAGGATGTAATCAGTTTGTTGATCTATTTTGGATTTCAAGCATGTACATGTGTACTAAATTTCTTATGTATAACCACAATTTATTAAGACTAGTATTTTTCAACTTAGGGAACAATATCCAGTTTCATCAATATTGGTTTAGTTGTTTTTGAGACTCTGTGACCTAGGTAAACAATGTTAATGGGCATTTGAAGTCCATTTAATTTTGTAAATTACTTTGTCTAATGTATTCTATAAAAGATTACTAGGTTCCATCAATGTTTTAAATAACTTTAAAAAAATCCCCATTTATTAAATAAAGTAACAAGTGTTTAAATTTTTTTATGTTTATATTACTTATGGTACATTAACCTATTCCATCAAGTTATCAAAGTTGGTCAAGTGGTAAACATAAATTTATTTACAAACACAGAGCTCAATTTTTATAACATGTTGAGGATTACAAAAAAAATTTATTTTTCATCATTGATGCTGCAGACTGAATATTCCTTTTTTAAAATCAAGATTAATATATTCTATGACATGGGATCATTGTGACCAACAATTTTCCTCCCACGTTAATCTACGTGTGACCGAGATTTGTAAAAATGTAGTTATAGCGTATTGAAAATATAAGTCGTAAAATTAATAATAATTTAAAGTATCTTGTTAGTATGAACTTTAAATCGAAATTTCTCTATTTTAGTTTTAAACTTTGTGTTTTAAATGTACATAACTAATATATTATACTGTCTATTGTTTAAAAAATCATTTGTACCCTGAAAATGCTATTTATAATTCTAGAACTATAACCCTCAAATAGCTATTGATTCTTTTTTCCTTATCACTGTCATTTCATTTTACAAATCAATAGACGTAGTAAACTCAAGCGTTTTTTAAATAATATCGCTGTTTTTGTGTCAGTTACGTATTTAGTACTTGTTTTACCGACGCAGTTAGCTAACTGTAATCTTTTTGTTTCCACGTTACCTAACTGAGTTTAATTAAAACGCCATTTGCACTAACCTGTATTATGCAAAAATGGCCCTTCCGAACATATTTCGATAAACATTCAAATAGTACTCGTAGTAGTAGTCATAAGCATTTAAGGTTATTTAAGCTAAGTAATTATTGAATTAAGTTCACCATATATCCAGACGGAAGCTTAGAAAGGTATCTTTCGCCCGAACCCAATAACCTATCTCAATCCATAATCCATCACCTGAGATAGTAATCAAAGTCAAGTCAGGTCGTATCGTTGTCTGTGGATAGACCTTTGTATGAAAATTACAGTTGACGAAAGCTCGATTTCAACAGTTAATTATTTTAACAGATTTTAACTTACACCAGGTTTTTAAATTTATAAAAAAACTGTTTGTTATGTTTTAAACATACACATGTATATTTTAATGTTATTTGTACGGTTTTATTTACTTTATTTGGTTTACATTGATTATCAAATATGAGTGAAAACTCGGTAAAATGGAACGACGAAGAGCATTTTATCCGTCGCCAAAAATGGATTGTCTTCGTAGGGTTTGGTTATTGGGATGCAGATAGGAGATGGAGCGACTGTCACGGTCTGATCTCAGATTGTTTTTTATCTGAGATTGTGGATTGATTATTGGGTTCGGGCATTTGCCGTATTCTTCCTTTAATCGGTTGTTATTTAACGCTGTGGTAAATTTCCTACAGTTGCCCTGTTTAATACAAATTTACATTAAAGAGAACGAGCTCGTGATGCTCTCGGTACGGCCGTTAGTCTTCTAATTAAATGTTTCACGACTTAAGAAAATATCTAGAGCAGAGACATGCTATTGTTTTGTATGTAATGTCGTCTTTAAGTTAATTATCGTGTTAACACCACATAAGAACGAGCAGTATTGGCATAGTGGCAAAGGGCGGTTCAGGTTTGTTTCTCTTCTTTCCATGTGTGATATCTTGCTCGTCTTGAGAAGGTTTGTCTTAGAATCGACGTCGTATCAATCACGGTAGTCTTATCATATTAGTCTGGATTGGTGAGATTTTTTTATTTTTTATTATTGTTCCTTATTAGGGTTGCCTGGAAGAAATCGCTTCTTAGCGATAAGGCCGCCCGTTCAATAATAACTTGTGTAACCTACTTTTTGTTTTTTTTTTATTATTGCAATGAGGTACCTATAAATAAATAAATAAAAGTGACTTAGGGAGCATTCAAGTATTACGTCACGCAATTTTTGGAGATTATTAACCCCCCCCCCCCCTCATGTAACGCGCCGCAACGTTTTTCTGTACCCAATAGTAAAACGTTTCGTGACCACCAAAGTGACTCGTTATACCTAAATTTTACGTAAAGTTTTTATGTAAAGTGCTGGAAAGTCGAAAGTAATATTAACAATAACGCGTAATTCAATCCCTGCCCCGCATTGTAATGTTTTACAAAAGACCCAGAAATTCGTTACGTAATACTTGAACGCTCCCTTATACCATGACTCCCATATGTCATAATCCAATCAATTTTTGACGTACGAGAGTCACACTTAGCGTTTCTTGTTTCTGAATGTTACCCTCAATTTTACCAAAACACCATCGAATCTTAATCCATTTAATTCTACAACGCACTAATACTTAAAAGCTATGGATCATTAAATGTTATCAAATCTAACCTACACCTTATAGAATATTACTAAATAAAATAAAAACAACATACACTGCCGTCTTTGTGATACCTAAGGTATATCTTGTAAAACGGTATACGTGACCTGTATACGTACATAGTTGTATGAACGTCACTTGAGATTTTATTCGTTTGGGAGCATTGCAAGGCCTACAGGTTTGAAATACTAACTGTAAGGCCTAGTTTAGCGTCTACGTCAGTGGATGCTAAATGTAATCACTATATATAGGTATATACTATATGTAAAAAGTTGTTTGTCTAATCTTAATCAAGAGGCAAGTTATCTTGCTTTTTGTTTTGTATGTTTTTTATTATTGTACTAAGAAATAAATAGAGCGTTTATGTGCAAAGAAAGTACATTGAGATTGTTTAATTATAAAAAACGCATAATCAGCCATATAAAATAGGAAAATGTCATAGTAATTATCATAATAAGAACAGTTAAGTTATTTATAATTGTTGTCAAAATGTATGGTCTAAATACTCTCCAACGCTATTAAGACCTTGCCTTTAAAAATTGAATCACCTTCCCCTTGAAAGCTATACTAAAACTAGATATTATAAAGTGAGTACTTGGGATCTGTTATACTTTTTTAAATCTCTAGAACAGTGTTTCCCAACGCTTTTTGTGCGATGCTCCCCCTTGCCCTTTCTAAACTTCCTATGATAAAATATAATAATTCACTTAAGAAAGAAGGCTTGAGGAAGGCTTTCGTAACAATTACTAATTGTTACGAAACACAGTAAGTAAATTTTCAAAACATAATAATAAAGAAAACCTGAAATTCAAATAAAAAATAATTTTAATCAATTTTCGAATAGCGCCACCCTTAGCATCAAATTTCCCTGTGGGGCCATATTTAAGAAAAAAACGTGAGAAAACTTATATTTAAGGAATAAGACCATTTAAATCTGGGCCTCATGATTTACGTCTAGTAGCGAAATACCTGTATTAATAATAAAAAGCCACTTTAACTCCTATTTAAAATTACATATCAAATGAGTATTACGCTGGCCATAGACGGACCGCATTTTGCAGTCGATACCGACTGCTCTAAGCGGTCGCCGCACGGCGAACTGCAGTTTCCATACTAAATTCATATCCGCCATACACGGACCGCACGACAAGTTTCTGAGCGGTCGGAGCAGTCGCTCTGCGGTCGAGTTTCGCCGTGCGGTCGACTGCTTAGAGCTGCCGGACCCACCATACACGGACAGCTACAAGCGGTTGCTGCCGACCGCGCGCCACTCCCTCAAATAAAATAAATTACTAATTCATCAAATGAAACCACGGACATTTTAAAGTAGTTGAAAAACTTTTTAGTGTCTTCTCTCATTTGGGGATACAAAGTATGAAATATTCCATGCTGTTCTCTTGATTGTAGTATTGGACGCATCCACATGCTAAGGTGCCTTCTACGCCTACGGTTGCGTAATAGTAGTACAAGAAACAGTGTTTCTTCATCGAAATCCATCTTATAAATGAACTCGCATCAATTTTATTTTGCGGTCGAACACAACTGCTCTAAGCAGTCGTAGTCGACTGCATTATGCGGTCGTGTTGCAGTCGTGTACGACTTCAACGCGACCGCTCTAGAGCAGTCGGTCTCGACTGCAACATGCGGTCCGTCTATGGCCAGCGTAAGTTTTGTTATTATACCTACTCTCAGGGTCTGTTTCACAATGTACGGATAAGTTCTAGATAAGTTCCAAATTAGCTATTTATTACTTATTGGTAGGATAAATACTATTGTTGCGTTTCACGACTGTCAGATAGCGCTATTTGTCACATAAAGTCCATC